CCAAAATACTAGGTATAACATTCAAGAAAAAAGTAAGGAACACAAACATAATAAATTAATTTTCTTAACAATTCTCAAAATTAAGGGCTGGGGATATAGCTCAGTGTTAAAGCACCTGCCTAGCATGCCCTGAGTTCAACCCCCCACACTGTGAAATGGAAAAAGAAAAAGAAAAAAAATTTCTCAAATTAAAGGTAATTAACAATTACAGTTTTTTGCAGTCTCTGCTTTTTCCCAACCAGGCCTAAAGAAGAAAAAATTGGTGGCAGAACACTTGTTGGGAAAGCAAATAGGCCAAAACTATTGTAAATAAAATTTTCAAGCCACCAAAATTTGGGAGAGAAGGAAAAGAAAACAGCAAATTATCAAATGACAATAAAACAAGATCCTATCAGAGTTTTCGGGTTAGACAAAAGTAACTTCATGGGGAATACACCCTACAATCTGCATATGTCCCATTGCTTATATACATCCTTTATACCTCCAGAAGTACATAATAAACTTTGAACAATAAAATGACAACAGAGAATATTGGGTTGTAAATATTTATATTTCTTGTACTCACACAAAATGCTGTATGAGACATTACTAGTTTTAATAAGTATCCATAGGATTAATACTCATATGGAGTATATTGTGAAAAAGTGCAGAACTAAAGAAATAAATCTATCTGAAAACAAAAGCACACATTTCTTAGGATTTAAAAATATTGCACATAATAAGGTTGCACAGAAATTACTGGCTGGGTTTACAAACAGAATGAGGTATTAGTCAATCTCTAGATAAAAGTAAATGCAAAGAGGAAGAACTACACACACACACACACAAAAATACACATAAATTCATATTAAGACCTAGAGTACCAACAACTAAGAAAGAAATGTAAAAAGATGTATAAGTAGCTATGATTTCAACCCTACAAAATCATTAGTTAGGGACTAAACACATAACAGTCTCTTGGCAATGTTTCATAAGTTTTCAATTTTTTTTCCAGCTTAACTAAGAGCAGTATAATAATTTCTCTTACCTCAATTCTATAATAGAAAGACACAGTTCTGTGGTAAATATCAAACCATCCCTTTCTAAAGCTTTCAGTGGCAATTAACCAAGATACTGCTCTCCTTTGCTGAATAAATTAGTTCACATACATTTAGCAACCCAATTCAGATGCTACAGAGCATGCAATTTTAAATTAGCAAAGGCTTCACTGCAAAAATCATTCAACTTCACACAATTATAACTTTTAAAGTTTAATCCTGATGTATCAAGCAAACTCAATCTTTTTTTTTGGTGGGGGAAGGGGATGATAAAACTGGCCACGTTACTGAACCCAAGGGCAGGTAGAAAGGAAAAAATAATAATAATAATAAAACCCAGGAAGATTTATATCTCACTTTAAAGAACCTTTCCTAGTCAGAAAAATTAATAATTAGATTTTTGTCTACTAGCTGAATGTTGCTGAATTCTTCAAAAACAATTTAAATATATGTAATAGCTATGTCAAATTGTTTAAAGTAAGTGAAATCATGCACTTGTCAAAATAGTTCACAGAAAACTGTTTTACATCAAAGATACTGATGAAGAGTCAACTAGGTGGGTTTAGTGAGAAAAGAAAAAGAACCAACTATTGTCCTGAACAATCAGTGTACGTAGTAACCATATTTCCTCTTCGTTGAGTGACAGTCCTGCAGTGCTTGCTAGAGCCATGAAATCTATTTTCAGTCTGTACTGTATGTCGATTGCTGGTATCAAAGCCACTAAAAGAAAACATTTTCTCCATATCTTCAAACATGTCATCAAACAATCCACCTCCAAAAGAAAACTCCTGAAAATGATGCCTTTGTCGACTAGAACCATCCTGGCGTGTCTGGAAGTGATTTTCAAAATGCTTCTTAGACCGAGTGTTTTGGTTTTGACCAAAAAAACTAAAGTCTTTAAACAAATCATCAAAATTGAAGTTAAACGACTGCTCAAAAGGACTTCCACTGCTTCTTTGTCCTTTACCATTAGTAAAAGCACTGTGTCCAAGGGTATCATACTCTTTTCGTCTACTAGCATCTGAGAGTGTTTCATATGCTGAAAGAGATAAATTACATATATTCAAACTTCTTCAAATGTGATTTCAACTCTATATTTTAGGGAAGGAGGTCATATCACAAGTAAAAGCAAAGCCCTACAAACATTAAATGAATAACCAATATCAGTTAAATGAATGCTACCATTACCAAAAAGAAATTTGTTGACAACAATTACAAAGTTCTAAGAAATTTGATTTTTCACTTCCTTACTACTTAATGAAAAAGTTTAATTCCAACTCCCTAATCAGTTACCATCAACTCTTGAATATTCACAAAGTGCAATTTATTTTAGAACTAGTCTTAAGTTAAAATGTTTTTCATACTTTTCCTTTAAAGACAAATGGGTTTTGAAATACAGATTAAATGAAGAAAATGTCAGAGACTATATTAGGTTTTTTATACTTAATCTACATACTTAATATTCTGTTTCATAAATCAGTTGCAAGAATTCCTTTTTATGTAGAAACAGCAGTGATTTTACAAATAATAATAAAATAATATTTTCAATATTTTAAGATCTGAATGTCTATTCATTCATTCATGAACCAAAGTATTATCTGTTATGAAAAAAAGTCTCACAATCTCACTATATTTATATGTAAATTCCCATCTCCATGAAACCTTCAAATACCTAGACTTCTTAGCATTCTCTTTACTGGTTAATACCCATGAGACATAAGGAAAATCATTTATTTACCTTCTGCAATCTCTCTGAATTTTGCTTCAGCATCAGGACTCTTATTTTTGTCAGGATGGTACTTCATGGCCAATTTGTGAAAAGCCTTCTTGATTTGACGCTCTGATGCTGACTTTGGCACACCTAAGATATCATAGTAGCTTTTTGAGGCCAAAATTAACTCCGTTATCATTAAAATGCAGATTGCAAAGATGAAAACTGACTGGGGAGTAGCCATTTCTAATATCCTAAAAGAGAAAGGGGGAAAAAATTTACCCATGGAACTAATCTTAACACTTTTTTAAAAAGAAACCCAATGAACTTTTATATATGAAGTACACAATGCAGCACAAAAATGTTCAGCAAATACTATCTTGTACATTCTATTGTATTGGTAGTGTTAGTATTTGTGACACTGCATCTCTGTTTCCAGTCTGGCTTACCTGCTGAAGTGAATGCTGACTGTTGCTTTCTTAGGGAAGGAAGAATTCTACTATTTAGATATCCTGGGCTATTTACACTGGTAATGCACTGTTCCCCCTGTGAAGTTAAATACATTATTTTCTTTTCAGAATACAAATTCTTGAAAGGAAGACAGGGATCTTTTAAATTATTTTTGCATTTTTTTTCTTTAATTTTTGTTATGCTTGTATATATGATGGGTCTTCAATAATATCTAGTAAAAATCAGTGATTAAAAGTTTTGTGTATCCTCTGTGTTTGACTCAAGTATGAGTGGAATGGCAAAACCAAGAAAGATGTTTCTCAATTTGGTTGACTTCTACTTGTTCTTTAAAAGGTCAACACAATTTGAAAGTTATAAAACCTGTACAAATGCAAGATCCCAAATGTTCAACAAAGAAGTATGGACAAATAAGTTCTGTTTAAATTTACTCCTATTTAAAAATTCTATTAAGGCTGTCAGAAAATATGAAGTGATTTGATGGGTACTTTAAAGCAGATTCTTATTTTCAAACTTCTAAGTAAATTAGAATATTTATCTTAACTTTAAATTACAACTTAAGAATTCCTGATAATATATACTTAATGATTTGAGATTCAAAACGAAGTGATCCTGTTTTTTTAATGCTGTACCATAGAAATCCTTAATAACCTATGATGACCTAACAAGGCTGACGAAAAGGCATTATGGTTTGTTGAAACTGCCTGCCTTCCTCTCCTGTGGCCTTTCCTGGGAATAGTCAGCAGGTGTATTACTTTTTTTTTTCCCCAGAGCGTTACTCATAGTCACGGGTACCAAGGATCAAGTACAAATCCTGGTGTAAAGAACACAAAGAGAACATGTCCAGTGGACACCGCATCCAAGGCGGGCTGCTCCAGATTCCAAGGGCGGGTCTAACCACTGACAGGCACCTCGACGGCTAATAAACGTTACTCCAAGGTTTCAAGTTGAACATCTGATAATTTTTTAGTAAGCTAACTTTTCCATTAAGCTGATTTCTCATTCGGACCCGCTGGACAGCGGCCTGGGCCTTACTTCCCAGTGCCAGCGGTTGGACCATCCAACCCTCATCACAAGGCAACCAGCCCTGTCCGTCCAAACCCCACCATCAGGGCTCCCTGAGGCTCGGGGCCCAGTACAGCGAGAAGCTGTCTGGAAAGCCAACGACACAACCCAACACAGAGAACACTCTGTTTTGTGGTTTGGTCATCTCTTGATGTTTCCTTCGCCAAGAACCCGCAGCCCGAAACCCTTGCGGCGACCCGACAGACATGGAGGCCAATAATGCCCCAAACAAGAAGCCACTGTTCCGGGAACGCTCCAAATCCCACTCCCAGCGACTCCCGGCCTCGTCCCTCACCCGCACTCTCCAGTTACGGCTCCCCCTCCACAGAGCCGAGGCGCCTGTGACGCTCACGAACCGCTCCGTTCGGTTGCTGGGGCTCGGCCCCTCACCCCAGCTTCCGCGGCCTCCTGGAGCCGGCGCGTGCCCCACTGCCTCCGGCACAATCACCTCTCGCTCCCCGCACCGCCTAAGCCACTGCGTCCCCTCTCAGCCCGCTCCCAACTGGCGGGCGACTGCTGCTAGAGCCACCGCCTCAGGAGAAGACCTACACGAAACGCTTCCCCATTGGCTCCCACCTACCCACCTGATCCTGGCGCCCTACGCGCACGTGGAAAACTGTTGTTGCCGCTCAGCCTGTGCGTCACTTCCTGCCCCACCCCTTCGAAGGGCCGTACTGAAGCATGAGGAGGCGGAAGTGAGTCGACATTTCCTACGTCTTTCCCCGGGGCGAACCTCTGCGCAGGCGCGGTGGCTTAGGCTGCTGGACCAGCAGCCCCGCCTCAGGAAGAAGGGCCCGCCTGCGCCCCTCGCTGGTCCCGGTCTTCCGGGACCTTACCCGAGTGATGCCCCGCTATTGCGCAGCGATTTGCTGTAAAAACCGCCGAGGACCGAACAATAAAGACCGGAAGCTGAGCTTTTACCCGTGAGTAGTCCCTTGGGCAGAAGCGTTAGCGTTATCGTTAGGCCGTGGTCCTGTAGCCTTTGGAGCCAGGACCTGGGTATCTCCTATGAGTTCTTCAGCTGCTTGAGCGTAGTGGTCATCACGCAAGAGGAGTGTTCAGTGTATATCTTGAGGGGCCTGTTGGTGCTCAACAAAGGAGTTAAAACAGTGAATCTTAAGAGATGCTCGATGATTTTTCAGAACCTTTACTCCACTTTACCTGACCTCATTTCCTGAAATACATTTACCACCTTTTAGGGTACATCAAACCTGCTAGGTGGGAAGGTGCACCCAAAGTTAATTTGCACTCCCTGTGAGGTCGCACAGGTGTAATTTAAATCCATTTTTTTTTTCCTCCTGAGAAACTTGATCAGGAAAGACGACCTTGAAAGTTTGGTGTCAAAGCTGGAGTTATGACCTGTGTCCTTTTCAGAGATGTGTATGCAGTTCATGAATAGAACAGGATAAACGTTACTCTGAATGACTAGGACCCCGAATTATTTCCGTGAAATTATAGAGTACTGATTTCCATGCAGAACAGGGAAGCAGTGTTGTGTAAAGAGTCCCAGGCTCCAAAGCCGTATTTTTACTAAATTAAAAAATCCTGGTTCCTTTACTTGTAGCTGAATGACAAGTAATTTAGACTGTCAGTGCTCAGCTCTCTCATTTGTAAAATGGAGATATTAGTGGAACTTACGCTTACTTTGCAGGAGGTACCTGCTTAATGTGTATAAAAAGCCTGTGAAAATCAACATGTTTAAAATATTCTGTTTCCTTTTTTCTTGTATTTAAAAATAATTTTTTAGAGCTGATCTCGTTGTCTCTTATTTTCACCAGATGTATTGTGAATCCCATTTTCCTTTAGACCAAAAGCTATCATTCACTAATGGTTCAGCTGCTTTCCATCATCTGAAGTATTGAGGGGAAAAAAATTGATAACTCTAAGTAATTCATACTACATGACAATATATCCAGTATTATCTCCTTGGATCCCTTCCACAGAGGTAGTTATTTTGGAAGTAAAAAATCTAATCCATTGTCAGTTGAAAAGCAGATGCTACTATATTAATGGTTCTGAGATTTGTAGTAAAAGATCATGTTAAACTAATATTTCCCAGGTTTATTTGGCCTTTGATTTGGGAGGCATAATCCTGCACTAATCAATTGTTTAACCTATATGGATCTCAGAGTTACTATATTTAAGGAGGAAAAACTAATTCCAAATGAATTATAAAGATCGTTTGTAAAGACTTTTTCCTCAAAATGTGAATCAAAAGTGAGATTTTTAAAAATTGGGGTTTTTTTATAAGTTACCTGTGTAATCCACACACACAAAAAAAATTCAGTTTTATTCCATAATAGCACCAAACTACCAAACGTGAAGACTTGAATTTGCTCATCCTCACATTATAGCAAGCTGTAGTATATAAGTTTATATGAATGGTAATTCAGTAAATAGAGGCATACAATGTCCAATTTATACTGTGATTTTTATATGTACTCGGGGGATTACATAAAATAAACAAAATTACCAGACAAATTAAACAAGTATGAAGCTACTCAGTTATTCAGGAAACATGTCCTAAGAGATTTCTTAAAGATTTATTTGTTGAGGAATTACTGCATTGCAGTTAGTAATTAGAATAGTCACAAAATGTTATTTTTTTAATGGTTTGCTAACTTACCCTATAGATACAATGGAAATAATTTGGAAACAGCATCCTTACATAAGAATTATATGAGAAAGCATTATTTTAAAAGGCTTCTTCTCATTTTAGACATACCAAAAGGTTGAACTTATTCTTTTTACCTTTAAATGCTTTTTCTGGTTATGCCTATCATATTTCTAAATCTAAGTGTCATATGCAAGCTTAGAATATTTTAAAACATATGAATATTGTTTTTATGGTAGTATCTTCCAAAGATCATTTAATTTTTTTTTCCACATAGGATATCAGAATTAAAAATTATTTCCTACAAAATACCCAGACTCTCTTCCCCTAGGATCTTATAAACTTAGCAGAATTTAGGAAGGAGAAAAAAATTCTGCTTACTATAAAGCATAAACTAAGTAGTTGGGATGAGAGGGCATGTAGGATAGCTACATTTTGTATGAGAAACCCATATTGTTACTATTTTTTTTAAATAGGAAACTATCATTTAGAACATGCCTAGGAAAATCATTAAATGAGATATATGTCACTGTAAACTTCTGTTTAGAACACTTTAACGCAAACATTTAAACTGGTTGGAAGTTTGTTTGTTTGTTTAAAGAGAGAGAGAGAGTCTTTTTTGTAGATGGACACAACACAATGTCTTTATTTTTATGTGGTGCTGAGAATCAAACCGGGTTGCTAGGCGAGCTCTCTACCACTGAGCCACAATCCCAGCCCTAGTTGGAAATTTTTTCCTACCAAATTCTGCCATTGTCCAGTTTTGCCTTTAAAACAAACTTTAATATGTTAAAGCCAACTCTAAACCCAGGTTATTGTCAATAAAGGAACAAAATGTATGGAGAACTATCTTGCCTTTCTCTCTTTTATATCTTATTTCTTTCAAATAAAATATCCAAGTTTGTCTTTATTAACATGTTTAGTTCTTTTTTAGCTTCAGAGTTCCTTTTTTAGAACTTGAATTTTAGAGTTCCCAGTAAGTAGGTTACAGAAATTAAGTAATATCACATGGGTAGAATTGAAGCTGATGTCAGTAAAGAGAATGGAATATTAGTAGTTTTATGCAAGTATTCATTTTATTCTCCTAAATCATTTGTTTGAATTAATGTTGCCTTATTTTAAAAATAATCAAAGTTTAAAGCTAATGCTGCCTAAAATTATAGGCAAGAAACTATGTGACTTGTATTAATATGAAGTACTTTTGAGAGGAAATTTGTAATTTATGCAATGCTCTTTCCTACTTCTAGTCAAACTGTACAATAAAATAAAGGTGCAACATAATCCACAGAAAATATGAGTGGATTTTATCCTTTGCAGGAATACCTGTTTTACTTGAAGGACTCTGAATTCTGTTTTACAAGCTATTCTCAGGCAAAAAACTTTGGCTTCTATTATATCGTGTCTTAATACTCTTACTGTAGAGAGATAATATGGTAGTTGTCATGAAGATGCTCTTGTTTAGTGGGGATGGGTATCTTGCTTTTGCAGCACTTGACAAATAGTGCTAGATATATATGTCTAGAATCTAGCAAAATGTAAAAATACAGCAAATTTTCTTTATCTGTTTTTTTTTTTTTTTTTTAATAATTTCAGGTTTCCTCTACATGACAAAGAAAGACTTGAAAAGTGGTTAAAGAATATGAAACGTGATTCTTGGGTTCCTAGTAAATACCAGTTCCTATGTAGTGACCATTTTACTCCTGACTCTCTTGACATCAGATGGGGTATTCGTTATTTAAAACAAACTGCAATTCCAACAATATTTTCTTTGCCTGAAGACTATCAGGTATTGGAGTGGGGGCGGTAATGCTGAGCATGGTGACACATCATAGGGTGGCAGGTGATGGGTACAGAGAGTAAGAGGGAAAGATAACTTTTGGGAAAATGAATACTTGAGGAAAAGGGACACTATTTTGCACTTTTACTAAAAGTAATGTAGTTTTTAAAAATTTAAATTATGAAGTGTAGTTTAAGAAACAGAAGATAATGTATACAATCTTAAGTTATTAACATAAATTAATAATAAGTTAAGCTTTTTTGTTGGGTGTTTTAATGGTTTGAAATGTTTTATATATTGAATGTGCTTAATGCTTTTCAAAAAACATTTTAAGATATATTTAAATCATATGTTTAGAGTATTTTTTTTAACTAAACAAATGTGCTTGCCCAGCATAGTGCCTAAAGTTACAATTAAGTAGTCATGACTAATTAATAAGAGAATAAGTCTTTTTAGAATTTGAAAATATTATTTTGTAGGGAAAAGACCTCTCCAAAAAAAAATCTCAGAAGAAAAAATTGGAAGAGAAAGAAGTGTGCCTAAAAGCCAGGTCAGAAGAATCATTTACATCAAATGAGGCAAAGAATATTACAGTTAACACAGATGTACTTCCTGAACATGCAGAATTGCTTGATTCATCTGCCTTGGTGAAGCCAACAGCTCCAAAGCCAGGAAGCTTACAAAATAAAGTATTAACTCTTAATCTAGTTAAGCAAGACACTGAAAAACTGAAATCTACCCTGGAAAAATCAATTAACCAAGATTTAGGTTTAAGAGGATTTCATACATCTTTTGAGAACGAAAATTCTACAACTATTACTTTGACAACTTCAGATTCAGAAGTTAGTCACCAGTCTTTGGAAAGCCAAGAAGTACTTGAAATAACAACCAATCATCTTGCTAATCCAAACTTTACAAATAATTCCATGGAAATTAAATCACAGGAAAATCCATTCTTATTCAGCACAGTTAATCAAACAGTTGAAGATATAAACACAAATAAACAATCTGTTATTGCCATTTTTGTGCCCACAGAAAATTCTAAACCTGTAGTTAATTCCTTTATACCTGCCCCCAAAGAAACCATGGAAATGGAAGACATAGACACTGAAGACTCCTTATATAAGAATGTAGATCATGGGGCAGAAGTTTTACAAATTGAACATTCTTATTGTAGACAAGACATAAATAAGGAACATCTTTGGCAAAAAGTCTCTAAACTACATTCAAAGATAACCCTTCTAGAGCTACAAGAGCAACAAACTCTAGGAAGATTAAAGTCTTTGGAAGCTCTTATAAGCCAGCTAAAACAGGAAAACTGGTTATCAGAAGAAAATGTCAAGATTATAGAAAACCATTTCACAACATATGAAGTCACTATGATATAAAGAAGTTTCAAAGCTAAACCAAATTTTTTTTTTCCAGCTAAACCAAATTTCCTGTAAAGTGAACTTTTTCCTATATAATGTTCTCATCTTGATGAAGTTACAAAAGTGCTCTAATATCATGAACTGCATCCTATTCTTAAAATGCTCATTAATAAGAAAAATAGTTGTTGTGAAGAAGAGAAAAATAGTTATATTATTGGGTAGTTTCCCAAATTAAAATATAGTAAATAGATAATAAGTCAGTAATAGGAGACCAATGATATGGTCAAAACACCCCAAAATAGATGAGGTTGGTTCTACCACTGACACATGACATGACCAAAGTACTTATCAAGATTGTAAAATAATCCCTAATTTGTAAAATAAGGGTCCTTACTAGAACTCAGTTGGTTTCTTTGTAGTCCCTTCCCTTTGTATTTATTGATACTTTTATTAAAACAGTTTTTCTATAAGATTATATGTACTTATATAATAGAAATTGGGGAGAATTTGATATTCACTATTATTGCATTCTCTGACCTTTTAGCTATAGTTAGGTATCTTACATAAAGGAAAATATGGCTATTCTAATTTTTATTCAGTTGAACTCAGCTTTTAGGAGAGGTACCTTAAACTTGAAAGAATATATATTTCAGTACCTTATATATAGCAGACCGTGTTTAAGTCATTTAAGTTTTTTAACATCCTTATTTATAAAATTATATTTATAAACCAAAAACATAGGTTAATTTTAAATATATATATGTATATTATAGAAATTATAGTCTGTATCTATTTCTTAATAGGTATAGCTTTTAAAGTATATGCTTGTATCATTTTTTAAATCCAAAATAATAGAGTAATACTTTATTATATATTCCCACGTATGTATATTTTATTAAAATTTATAAGCAAATTATAGATAAGTGATGATGTCCTTAGGAAAACAAAGTTTTTCTCTTGGGAAAGAGAAGTGTTGGTGATATAAATAAAAATAAAGTTTATATCTGCATGAGCTAAGAAATATAAATGTAAAAGCAAAGTCGTTTTGGTAACAACCCAAATGTGAACAAGAGACAATATGTTCTTTAATATCTGTTAAAAAATAAAAAAATACTGCTATCTAAAAGGATGATTTTGAGAATTCTATGAGGTAACACATAATTTTTGGACCTGGAAAATAGGAGGTGCTCAATAATTATTAGTTAACTGAATAGCTGATCATTTTGTTAATGTGGTAATTATTTTTATTATATTTCAGTTAAGTTTTACGCTAATAAAATTAATTGGTATTTGATAATGTGTTTGCTAATTATAAAAAAATCAGAACTATCTTATTAAATGACCATGGTGGGGAAAACTTAAGTATTCCCATATTGCATATTTCTGATACTTAAAGTGAATAGTACAGATAAAAATAACAAGTCACAAAATATTATTTTAACTTAGTTTAAACTTAATAAAGTATAAGTATTTATTTTCATGGCTTTCATATATACATATACACACATATACATACATACATATATATGCACATACTTGAATCACTAATACTGGAGGACTTGCGCTTTGTGCATGCTAGGCAAGTGCTCTACTGCGAAATTCACAACCCTTGCCTTTTTATAAATAATTGAAGATACTCTCAACCTAACCCAGCTAACCTCTAAATTAATATTTTCAGATTCTGGCCTACATTATTTCCTATTTGGACTATTACAGAAGCCTCTTAGCTAATCTTGCCTATGTTTTCAGTCTTCTATTTCCATATTATCTTGGATTCTGCTGTTATTTTTTTAACCTAAATTATAAATCTATCACCCACCCACCCCATAACTTCTAGCTCAGACATCTCACATTACTCACTAATACCTATAAGATAAAGCCAAAGTTATTACTGTTATATCTGATTCTCTGTAACTTTGTTTATCCTGTGATCTACCTACACTGAATTTCTTAGCATTTTGCAAGGATGCCAGACATGCATCTGTCCCTGTGTCTGCTTGCTTTATTCCCTCAACCAGTCTGTCAAAATTATATTTCAACATTGGTGGACTTTTTTCCTACCTGCTTATCTTCCAACCTGAGGATTTCATCACAAGCTTCATTGAGAAAATCAAAACAATCATAAAACACCCCTGATAGGGACTGAATTGTGGCCTCGTATACATATTTTGAAGCGCATCTATATTTGGTCATAGGGCATTTAAGGAATTAAAGTTAAATGAGGGGATATGGGTGGGGTCTTGATTCAAAGGGTTAGTGTGCTTACAGGAAGAAATACCAGGAAACTATTCTCCCTATATTGGGACACAGCTACAATACAGCAGTCTGCAAGCCCTCGTGAGAACCTGACCGTGCTTGGCAACCTGACTTCAGACTCCCAGGCTCCAGATTGGTGAGAAATTTTTGTTGAAAAAAGCCACCCAGTGTATGGTGTTTGGGCAGCCCAAGCTAAAATGCCTTTATAATCCAAAACAATGAGCTGTATTTGTTACAATGAATAAACCAGATCCGATGTATCAACATAAACCCAAACAGTATTCCAAAAAGAGTAAGTTGCAAAAATTTGAAAACTGTGTACTGCTTATTTATAATTAAATACACAAAATAGTAATATAGATTGTGTTACTATATACATACTATATTGCATATGTAGCAAAAATAAAAGTACTGTTCAGTGGGGAGGCAAGAAGAGATGATGGGAGATTTTGTTTCATTTATTTTAAAAAGCTGAATAAAAATATCAAAATGTTAATATTTAAACAATGATAGATACACATCTGCTTTATTACTCCATGTTTTAAATGTCTCAAAGTTAAAAAAAAATTACATACTTTAGTTAAAATGACAAAAGGGTGTGTTACCCTTTTTATGAAATTAAAGATTTAAGGCTTCATTCTATTTTGCTATTGTTACTCTCTGGTTTAAGACCAGAGATGTGGATGGAGGGAGATTACATAGTGAAAGAATTGATTTGAAATCAATAAACATGTATTTGTTAGAGTAATGCTGTCCCCCTCCAAAGATGTAACGTGGATGTTATCTCACATGGTAAAAGGTACTCTACAGATGCAATTAAGGTTACAGACCTTGAGATGGGAAGCTTATCCTGTATTATCTAACTGGATATAGTCTGATCATGAGTCCTTTAAAGGTGAGAACCTTTACGCATGAAGTCAAAGAAAAATGCACATGAAACCCAACTCATCTAACTAGCTTTGAAAATGGAAGAATAGACTGCAAGCCAAGGAACATGGCAATATCTAGAAGTTAGAAACAGCTCTCATTTTATAGACAATAAGAAAATGATAACTTAAGTCCTACAACCAAAGGGAACCAAATTATGCCAACAATTCAAATAAACAAGACAGTTTCTCTCCTAGAGACTTTAGAAAGGAACACACTCTGCCAACACCTTGATTTTAGTCTAGTGAGACCCATACCTGGTATCTAACCTATAGAACTATAAGGAATTTATGTTGTTTCAAGCCACTAAGGTGAGGTGATTGTTAACTCAGCAATAGTAAAATAATATGGTCACAATCTGAGATTCAACTTTATTTACTTAGTTTACTGAGGACTCAGCTTTTTTACTGAAATACAAGTAGTGCTTTATTCAGAGGTTGTATTTAATAACATCGCATATGCAAATATGATTTGTAAACTAAAAAGCTATAGAAATGCCAGCTAGTAACATTGTTGTTTGATTATTCTTTGTAATGGTCTTAGATTAAAAACAAAAAAATATATTTGTATTCTTGTGTTTATACATACAGACTTTATTACTGTTCTCCTCTGAGAATGAAAAAAAAAATTGTAATCATTCCTCAATATTTTGCTACTGTGGAAACTCACAGTCATGATCCAGATATGAGAATTGGCTAGAGAAATTCAATTCTTGTCACTAAGGCAAAAAAAAAAAAAAAGTCACAGATTTGCTACTAAAACATGCATTCTAAAACCAAGATTTCCTAAATTATAGAATTAGAAAGTTTCAAACTCTGTGAGCCTCCTAAAAATTATCAGAGTATTTTTCAGAATTTGTATGGAAGGAAGTAGGGAAGATAAGATGAATGGATGGCTGAAAGAGAGGAAGATTCCATAAAAGGAAGGAAAGGAGAAGGAAGGGAGGAAGGACAGCAGATGGACATATAAATGTATTTGGTTTGACAACTGTGCTTTCCTAGGAAATAGCTCAAGACTGTGAAGGAGAAATCAGGTGAAGATTCTTCCTCAATCCCCTCAATCTGCAGGAGCAGAAGAGGAAATCATCTTTGTGAATTGAGAGTCTGGATTTCTAACCCTCATTTTAGTAAGACTTTCATTACTAATGGATCTTCATCAGTTACAAGATGTCAAGAAACAATTAGTGTTTGAACATGCTCGTTGCCAAATCCAGATTTGTGGCAATACAAAAGATACTATTATAGAGTTTTCTCCCCAAATTTAGAGCATGTTTTTGCCAGCAAATGAATTCATTCCCACCATTGCCATGGCACATGTGTGAGATTTCAGCCAATGATCAAAGCAAGTCTAATCATGCTAAAGATTTGAATTAGGGTTCTTTCTGCTGTCAGAAAGTCCAGTTCAGGAAGGGGCATAAGGAAGACTAAATAATCTTAACAAGAATGGCCCAAGAATCCAGAGATAGGAGTTGTAGCTCAGCTGTGCCTCATGATAATTGCCACTGAGAAACATCTAAAAGAGCAAGCAGTTCCTTCATGGCAACTACCTCCTAAAGGGCATTTGTTCCCCATCCCCGCTCCCAGCCAAATCTTATAATCTGAATTCATAAACAGGGTCCCTGGGTTTGACTACCTTGTGTACTTTAGCTTTTTGAATTCCAATATTAATTAGTTCAGTCATTCTGTCTTTCAATTCCAAATTCCCAACAGAATGATCCACTTGACCCACTGTACATTTTTAAATGGGTGAAACTCTAGTAAACCTATGAATTGGCATCACTTGAGTCAAGTCTTATAGGTTGCAGTTGCATCCAGTAAATAGTGTGGGGAAGGGTCACATGGAACAAAAGAGACCATGCTACCTCACTAAAACTTTGAGTAGTAATTTACCTTGGAGGTAAATTACTACTCAAAGGTAAATTATTCAAAGGAGGCTGTTGGATGGCAACCAGCAAACTTCTTTGGTTCTGTGCAGCAATAAAATATGAACTACATATGATGATGTTTGTATAAATTACCTTTCCCCTGATAGCAAGTTCCTCTAGCTTCATCCTTCCCTGAGCTTGTAACAGTCCACTAAAACTTCTTCTCACAGAAGAACCGGGCAATACCAAAGTAGTTTTAAAGCTAATAAAAACTAATAAACTAAATAGTTCTAATATAAAGCTACTATCCTCCCCAAGTTTGAAATAAATAACCTGAAAATGTTAATAGAAAAATATATATATTTGATATTTCAACAAAACTAGCTCTAAATATTGATCTCATTTTATTTACAATTTATTTCATAGAAACCTTAAGGACAATCTGTTACCGGTGATTTTGTTCCAAGTTTCTAAAGTTTAGCTTTTTGATAGTGTCTCTGTAGCATATAACACAAATAGTATACAATGTCTAATATGGTAACCCATTGTTCTCCTGCATCATTAGTAAATTTGTCTTCTTTCCATGAATTCTGTATCTTCTGGTGTTAGTAGAGAAACATTTTCTTATATTTTCATATTACAGAGAATTCATTTTCTAAAATAGATATTTCTGGATCCTACATCTTTGGCTATAATATTGCCTCTATCTCATATATCTGTGGTGTGAAATTAACTTGTTAAAGTTCTAACTTTTCCATGTATGATTGTATTTCTCTATTCAATTCCTTCTTTAGGTATTATAGTACAGAACCATATTTTTGTCAGCATTGCATACATTCAAAAAAATCTATCTGATTGCATACACTCAAGTAATGAAAACAAATGAGTATTTCACTTTAGAAACAAACTGACCAATTCTAAAGTATATGAAAATTTAAGTGTTCTTATAAATATATTCTAAACATCTGTGTATATTTTAACTTGGACAATATTTAACAAAATGTATAAATTATGTTGTGTGAACTCTCAACATATTATTTCCCATACTTAATCTATTTTGGTGGGGGGTGCTGGAATATTGAGCCCAAGAGTGCTCTACCACTGATGCTCTACCATCCCAGGTTTTTTTTTTTCTTTTTCTTTCTTTCTTTTTTTTTTTTTTTTTTTTTTTTTTTTTGTCTCACTAAGCTGTTGAGGGGCTCACTAAATTGTTGAGGCTGACCTTGAACTTGCACTTCTCCTGTTCTAGCCTCCAGAGTCACTGGGATTACAGATGTGCACCACCACACCTAGCTTCATTTCTTTTTAATACCATATCACATTACCTAAGAAGATTAAAAAAAACTATTTTTATTGCCTAAGAACTATACACAGATTGCATTGTTTAATATTCAGGGGAAAATACATGACTTTTAAAAATTGGAAGTTAAGCACAGTGACACATACCTGTAATCTGAGCAGCTTGGGAAGATGAGGCAGGAGATCACAATTCAAAGCCAGCCTCAACAACTTAGTGAGGACTTCATCAACTTAGTGACACCCTCCTTCTAAATAAAATATAAAAAAGGGCTGATGAAGTGGCTCAGGGTTAAGGGCCTCTGGGTTTAATCCCTGATACAAAAAAAAAAAAAATGGAAAAAGTACCTTAAACTATAAATTGTCCTTAAAAAGGTAGGAAATTTTAATTGATTGATAAAGTGGACTTTTAAAGATATCTTGGATTGAAAACATGGTTTTTGTCCTTAAAGGGGTGCATGTATGCCCTTTAAAATGATTTAAATATTATTTTCACTTTAGGAATTAAAACCTAGGCTGTTCTCTTTTTTCTATTGAAAGATGTTAAAATTTTATTGTTTTAAGTAATCAATGAGTTTGACCATTTTTTTTAGAGAGAGAGAGAGAAAATTTCAATATTTATTTTTCAGTTTTTGGCGGACACAACATCTTTGTATGTGGTGCTGAGGATCGAACCCAGGCCGCATGCATGCCAGGCAAGCGTGCTACAGCTTGAGCCAAATCCCCAGCCCCAAGTTTGACCATTTTTAATGGCAACTAAGGAGAACAATTGCACTCTGGTAGACAGGCTTTAAAAATGTGAAGTCCAGCATTTTACATTTCAGCCATCTAATAAGATTCTTCAAGTGAAAACTTTTAATGATAAATGACTATGGATGTGTAGTAGAGGCAAAAATAAAGCCTAAAAAGAAATACGAATGGTCAGCAGATACATGAAAAAATATTCCAAATCTCTAGCAATTAGAGAAATGGAAATTAAAACTACACTGAGATTCCATCTCACTTCAGTCAGAATGACAATTGTCAAGAATACAAATAACAATAAATTTTGGCAAGGATTTGGGGTAAAAGTTTCACTCATACTTTAAGGGTGGGATAGCAAATTGGTGCAACCACTCTGGAAAGCAGTAGAGCGATTCCTCAGAAAACTTGGAATGGAACTATCATTTGACCCAGTTATCCCACTCCTCTGTATATAGCCAAAGGATTTAAAATTAGCATACTACA